CATGTATGAATACACTGGTCACAGCAGACAGTTCAGATGCCATCCTAATATACAGCATCAGAAATTTCTTGTGTAAAGCTGAACATCCATTTATACACGTGTATCAACCAGTTACAGAAACAAACTTTGTCCCTGTATGCACATACAAGGGAAGCAGTATGGAGAAGTACTTGAACGACTGATGCTCCAGAGCACAAGCCCTAGGGGAAGGGACTCCCCTCCCAAAGAGATTCCATCTAAGAGTTCCACAAGTCCAAAAAATATTAGAAAAAAACCAAAACTGTGCCATTCCCACCCAGGCAGCTTTAATGTTTTGCATACTCAAATCTTAAATCCTATAATTCAAAGACACCAGAGCCTCCTGACTAGAAACCCAACACAGAATAGAAAACATAAGTGACTTCAAAACTCTTTTGTCTCTCCATTTCCAGTAGCTTTTTGTTTGGTAACAGTACCTGCGCTTACCTGGTTTAAGCAAAACCATGAATAAAAGAGCACATTCTGCTTCCAAACAGTATTAATCAGCTAGAAAGTGATAATCCACCTGAATGAAATACTGTCATTACCAATTTTCCAAGCTACATGCATGAGGAAGATTTAAGGCTCCAGACTGCAGATCCAGTACCATGCAAATGTGGAAGTGGTAGAAAGAGGGATCGCAATTGCTGGAGCACTCCACTGCTAAGAATGAAATAAAACAGTTACACCATAAAGAAAAAAGTGATTAATCTTGAGCAGAAATTATAAGAGTTTCTCAGCATTCCTTTAGTTGGTTGCAGGATTCTGACTCAGACCTGTAGGAACGGACGAACAGGAGAAAACAACTTTGATTCAAGTTTTATGAGAGAACAAAGATGATTGCCCTAGAGACTTAAAATAGAGAATTGTGCCATTCATATTTTAAGTTCTAGGAAATTTCTGTTCTCTTCTCATTTCTCCTATTATAAGAAAACTAAGTATAACCAGTCTTACACCACCACCTTGTAAGAACTTGAATTTCTTTTTACCCACTTATAGTTCATGCTGCAAACATGCAGATGTCAGTTGAGATGGCCACCTCTGCTCCTCAAATACACTATCTCATAGTACACAGGCTGTCCTGGTGCAGTTTGATCCCAAGTCATCAGTGGGCCTCAAGTTCAGTATTAAGACCTCATTCTCCAGAAGCAATCTGGGAAACATTAAATAACAAAGAGAGGCATAACAAAAATGAACCCTGCACCCATGAGTATTTGGCTTCCTGAGGATGCAGATCATGTGAATGTTCCACAGGCAAAGAAAACTCAGTACTGCTTCCCCTTTCCAGTCCACGCATGCCAAGTTACAATACTCCAAGAGAGTTCCTGGATTTCAGTTCAGTAAATTCATGGTCAGCTGTGGGTTGGTAGACACATTAAGAACTTCATAGCAAAATGCACAATTTGCCTCCAATCCAGATCAACCACATTTTCTTCCAAGTCCTGAGGTCTGCCCAGTATCACATGGGTTTCAAAAATTTTGTGGCAGCAATATTAATAATAAAATGGCACAATCTTCTAAGGGAAATTGTGTCCGAAAGGCATGAAACAATTCACCATGACAGCTGCATTAAATAAATGGACAAAGAATATTTTTTCTTCTGGTAACAATAAATTTGTTTAGGTGGCAAAAAGCTGTCCCAGAGGCTGAATTACTTCATTCTTTTGGAAAGGATTTTCAGAGTGTTCCAATGATGTTGAAATCTCAAATTGGGAAAATCTGATTTTGGCTGGCGAGGTCATGTTCTCTCTCATTTGAAAGCACACTAGTGACAGACTATTCTTCTGCAGGAAGCGTTCTTTCTAATGTGACTTGCAAATCACGATTCTTCATAATTTTTAATTATTCAACTGGATTAGATGTGGGGTTTTTGGGGATAGGTTAATATATTTGTTTCAGTGTAATATTACAACTCTACTTTTCCAATTCAATCCTCTCATAAAAGCCACTACTGAAATCTTACTCAGGATCTCAATGGTATCTAAATGGTTGTTCAGAGATTAAAAGGCTTCAGAAAATAGTTAAAACAATGCCTTACAACAGTAACAGTGATGTATTTTGTTTACTAACAGACAGGCAAGGAACAATTAATGCACGGGGTTCGCAAAGATGACTGAAGCAAAGTCCAAAAAATACCAGACCCAACCTGATGGGTGAAAAGTGAAAGTCTGACTTGTACCAACACCAATTCTTCCATTCTAAAGACTGGAAACTAATAACATAAGGTAAGTTGTTTATGTTGATGTAAACATTTAAGAAAAAGAAAACCATGACATTTCCAGAACTGATGTAATATTCTATGCTATATTTTCACTTCCATGCCAGTCAGACCATCATGCTTAATAAGCAATCCTACAGTAAAACACCAGATGACCGAAGATGACAACTAAGCTCTATTCACATAGCAGCATCAGCATATCTTAGGTTGCACATTCCCTTACAAAAAGCACATCTACTTCTCCCATGAGACAGGTAGTTTCAACATTCTTAAAAAAAGCAGTCTTGAGAAAAACTGAAGAACCATAAGAAATTGTAATTCACAGAAAATACTGTTTTAGTAGTCAACCTTGCTCAAGAGGTAGCAGCTCATGATTTTTTCAGAGTTGTTTTTAAATGTGATGCACTGCACAGAAACAGTCCAACTTAGAAGTTAACACAATTGCATGCATGGTCAAAGATGGATCATTATCCACGAGCACTAGATGCATGTTTTCCTGTTTAGCCATCAATGAAAGTGGGTATTCTTTCTGTTCAGTGCTGTGAAAGACTCTACTGCCAATATCAGTGAGCAGATGATGAGTAAGAACTAAATCAGCATCAAAACTTATGGATTCTGTAGTGAAGGATTTTCCAGACAAAAATGAAATCACTAATCACCAACCTCTGACTATAAGCCAAGCACGGCCCTACCTAGCTATTCTCAGTTCTGTCAGCAGCAATGATGTATTTTTCCTTTTATATTGATTTCTTCATTCACTGAAGGATGAGAGTAGGTAGAATCTGTTACAAGTTGTAGTTCTGGCATAAGTTATTTTCTTTGAGAGCCACTTCCCATCAAGCAGATGAAGACTGGCCTGCTAAACATTCAAACCAACTGAAAAAAATAGCAAAGATTATGGAATGATATTTTGTACTACAGAAATGGAGAAGTTCTGAACTTCAGGGAACCAGGAAAACAACAACAACAACAAAACCCCCCAAGCCCTTCAGCCTGTTTTGATCAAAGAGTCTGACAAACAGTCTGCAGCAGGATGTTTTCTGAAATTTTGCCCTAAACTTGAAGATTGATACATTTTCTCTCTGTTCTCAAAGTAAAACTATGTGTATTCTCTGCTCATCTCTCTTTAATTCTACATGCACCACAGAATAAACAGTGTGACCCCTCTGGTTGTTATCTGCTAAAATAATTTTCAAAATTGTTAAAACCAGTAAACAACATAAGCAGTTCTGTCACATGCTATCCATTTGCATGCTCCAGCTATATTATTTAGCCTGGAAAGGAAATGTTAGAAAAGGACCTGGATCAGGTGTATTACCAATAATACAGACAAAATCATTACCAGTTCTTAAAAGTCAAGAAACAGCATCTACCCATAACAATGGCGTGCCACAAGAAGTCCAGTTCTGTTATGGACAACTCAGGATAGACTCAAAGCCATTTTACACGTACCTGAGAGAGTAACTTCTCCAAAGCAAAGCTTGCCTGATTTCCACAGCAATACACAATACTGATTTTTTTGTTAACTTAGTTTCCCTTTGTCAACAAATCTCAGTCAGAATTCAAAAAGTACTTAGCAACATTTAAAAAAGAAAGTATATATGCCACATAATAGTACGTGTACACAGAAAATGTGTATTTATTACCTTGCATTTTAGAAACGTTGCATTCAGGGAGCTTGATTTTCTTGTATTAAAACACATTCAAAGCATAACACAAGTTCAGCTGTTCCTCTCATTTACCAAAGAGCTTTCAATCATGCACGACAGACAAGGCTGAGAAAGATCCAATAAACCAAAACATCAGAATGGCAAACTAACCCGTCCATCAGCACCATGGCTCTCCTTTAACAGCATAAACTATCACTGCACCAGAACTAGTTGATTTACCAACCTAGATGCAAAACACAATGTAAGCACTCAGCAGAGCAACAAAGAATAGCAGAGAAGGAAATTCAGGACTTCATTTTCTTCCCTCAGAAAGATCAGGAGAAAAAATTCAATTCACGAGTAAAATAGCAATTATTTTTGGATTTAAACACCCTGCCTGGTTACAACATTGTTAACACAAGGCATCTGCTTCAAAACCTGAGAGGACAAAAGAAAGGTGCAGAGGTGATATACCAGCATCTATGAAGAATCTGTACCACTTTTAATAGTGTGAACTGGTATTCGTTTATCTTTTTTAGCAAGCTAAAACACATTTATTAAAGGAATAGAAGGATATAACTTCTGGTATTTGTTGCTTCTTTTAATGGTGTTTCTCTATGAGACAGCAGACTTATGAATGGAATGAAATACCCTGATAGGGATCGGTGTTGACTAAAAGACATAGTAAGACCAAAATGGATTTTCTCGACTGCCCTCTAGAGTACTCTGTAGTACCTGTTTTCAAGTTGAGCATTAGAGAAATGTTTTTCATACATTACTACCTTGAGTATTTCAGAGCCACCCAACAGAATTTATACTCACGTAGTAATGGAAATTTGACATAACTGATAAACTATGATCCAAAAAAATAATGACTGTTTCTGCTCTCCAGGAAGAACAAGAATGCTATGACTCCTAAAGGCCAGCAAACCTGGGGCCTTCATGGAGCCGTCTATAAGAACAGCAGGTGACAAACCTAGAAGACAGGACACATTCCATAATATGAGCACAGCATCTCTTCCAGAGAAGGACAGTTCCGAGCACTGTCATCATGTGAACACAGACCACATTTAAAATGTCAAACAAAAGCCATGCTATACGGTCCACCAAGAACACCGAGTTTATAGTGAAATTTATTGTTCTGCTTCCTAATACAATAAGCTACAAGGTACATACAGTATAAAACGAGAACGGCCACAAAGCAAAGGTGATAAACATTCTGTGACAGTACAGTGGAGGTAACGTCTGTCTACTCCTTCCACTTTATCCCACAAACAGCAGCTAAAACTACTGGCCCTCCCCCTCCCTCCCCTCCAAAAATATTAAAAAGTAAACTGTCTCTCTCACTTAGGAGCAGTGGGATTCGTTGGTGGTTGATTTTTTTTGTTTTTTGAGGGCACTGGTTATCTGCCAATATCTCAAGAAAATTGCTGAAACTAAAGTAACAAAGAAAAACTGTGAAGGTGGGAGTGACATGACCCATGCAAGATGCTCATGACACCTTGGTTCACTTCTCAGAGCAAATGGCCTGCAAAGAAAGGAAAAATTTGTTACACCAAGTAAAACAGCAATTAATGAGGTCAGAGTTAAGATATAGTAAGCAAAATCTGAACTAGACAGGACTAGGCTCACAGCTAAACTACTCTTTTAATGAAAATAATCTTCCTGTTATTACAGTTTGGAGACTGATAGCTGACAATCTTTCTCCTTTTATTTTTAGATGCTGTACAGGAGGGTGCACGTTGACATGGGCACAGCTGGCACCTATTATACAAGGCAAATCAAATAATCTTCTCTGGGAGAACTCTAACAATGACATGAACTGCAAACTCAACTCTTAAAAAACCCTAAAACCCATCAAGGCTATAAACATGCAGAAAGTCTGAATACTTACCTTAAAGGCACAAAATTCCATTTAACCACATTTTCATATATACTTGGTGCGGTTGAGGGCTCTCTCAGCAAGATGACCACTTTCATCTGTTATCTTCTCCCAATCTGTTTGTCCAACAACAAACCCAATGGCCCTTTTCCTGTCTGCATCTTTTTTTTCTTCTAGATCTGCCCACCGCACCTATGGAGAACATACTATCAGTAGGATAATCTCTTAAGAAATCCTGAGACAAGTCTAAGCTTTCCACTGCAGATAAGAGTGCAAGAATTCTAATCTGTATTCATTTTCATTCAAGCTGGTAAGTATTAATTTGTTTTCTGATGGGTAAAGATGGAAACTACAGTGGTTACATTATTTTTAATTGAATATCCCAGGTGTTCCATGGAGTAAAAGAAAGGTACAGATGATTAGCCTTTTCCATTCAATGCTGTAATTCTAAGAGCTAAAGTGTAATTACTACAATTATTTCTCTGTTCAAAGCAATGCTTTCTGCAGGAAGAATTATAAAAGATTTGTTCAGCATCTTCATTTTCTGTACAATCTGTCTTTCAATTGCACAATGGAAACATCTAGAAGATGACTATGAAACTACAGAAAGACAGTGTTAAACAGCAAGTCAACAACAAATGAGCGAATGAGAGACAGTTTTCCTCTCTATCTTCTGTGACAGATTTCTACTGAAATCTTTCCACTATTTCTTTACACTAAATAACTTCTTCATGCATTTGTTATCTCCCATCTTTACAGCTGCAGTCATCTCCTTCATGGTCATGCAGATCACTTGCATTCATCCTGTTCTCACATACACAGTCACTCCCTCACCCACAAACCCAGACACCAATGGGAGGGAGTGCGGGAGGTGATGATGAAGGGCTACAGTCCAGAAACTCAGCTGGAACACACTGTTGCAGGACAAGAAAAAACAGAAAGTGAAGGAGCTCTTCCTTGACATCCTAACTCATTAGTCCCATTCAGGCTGATTTGTTCCTTGGGGACATAGCCTTACCACCTTTCTGCCGACAACTCCCTATTCCACATTCTACCTGGATTTCCCCAGACATTTCCACCGATAAACAATGCCTGCTTTCTTTCACCATCACTTCCTCTGTCAGTGCCTCAGTATCTCCATTTCTCTCACGCATGCTGTTCAGTACTACCCACGCTTTCTATTTGACATTACAGAACAAAACAAAGCCCAAACACCAACAGTTAACTCAAATTACTTCTAGTAGCAAAAGCTGATCTATTTTGGAGAAAGAAAAAAAAAAAGCATTACCTCTTCCTATTACCCCTCTTTCATCTTCCTCTATGACTTTTTCCCCGTTTTTCACATTTGAAGATACAGCACTTTGTGTTCAGACCAGAACTACACATAAAGTGGTTGAAGCCAACTTCTTATACATCATCTCCCAAGCTTTATGCAAGGTATATGCAGCAGGTAATGTCTACAAGACTTAATTAATATTAAACCTACAAAGCTGATACTTTCCTCAGCTGATTCTTTTTGAACATAAGTGTACTATTTCTCTGCCTATTACAAAACCTAACAAAAAAATAGCTCAATAAAATCATGATCTTGTCTTGGAATCTGTGCTGTATATCACACTCGTCACAAAACATACAGCATAAGAAAAGGACTCTATGGGTTTCTCTGAAACAAAGTGCATCATCTCCCCCAGCAAGAAATGGGACATGATTCCATTCTCAATCTTAAAAGCCATGCCATGCATAGTTAATCTTTATTATCTACAACTCCTTATTTCATTATAATTAATCTGTTTACCTCTGGAAGATCCTACTCTCAAGAATGTTCTCTTACAGAATCTAACGTAACAGCAAAATGAAAAAAGTGAGTCAGTGAAACTGCCATAATCATAGACACTGAATGACTTGATACAAACTCTTTTTCACAGAGACCGTTAAATGGTCATATATGGACAGTAAGTCATTTGAAAATGTATTACCCTTTTCTTTCCAGGTTCAGAAGCACGTGTATCATAGTCATCTGGAAGCTGTAGGTAATCTTCCATTCTGCTGGCAATTGCTTCCCAGTCACGTTTCCTTTTAGTGCCAGTCCGCAAACCATCCAGCTTGTCTGAGAACAAACACAGAGCCTCGGAGTTAAAGAAGATTTTTTTTCTATTATTCACACAAACAAGACGAGAGTGGAAAAGTTTTCAAAAGAATAAGCAGCAGAACTTGTACATCCAGCTTGTCTTGACAGGTGAAATGATGAGAGTTGAAATAAACTAGAGAAGACTCAACACCATTTTCAAGTTTTATTGATCTTTCACATTAACCATGTGGCAATAACACTCAGTCTTGTTATTTGTATGAGGGAGAAAAGCTTGCTCTTCTGGATGTTCATACCATATGGAGACTGTCCTCACATGTACAATATAGCCACCAATAGCTAAGAACCACAAATCCACCTGTTCTGTATTTGAACACAATACTAAAGCTGTAGCATTTTTCCCATATTTGGGGTTTAATACTGTGTCAAACATGGCATGCATGCAGTACGAGGGAACAAGTGACGATCGTATAATTTAATGCATCAAAGACAAGTTTTTGAGATACTGTTTCTGCTAAATAAAAAGCTCCTTGGAAACTCTGATTCCCTCCCTTTCTTTTTCTCTCCCCACAAGGAAAACATACTCAAAAAAATCTTCCAGGACTGGAAAAAAAAAAATTATGTCAGAATCTTGTGTTTCATGGTGTAAGAGGTCAGTCACGAGTATTTGAGCAGTACGTTTGTCCAACAGTCATCATTTTCTTCTTTTTCTTATTGAACCGACAAGGCACGAGGAGAAACAATTCCATTCCTAGGTTCTAAAATTTTGTTCCTCTTTGGACACCTATTTTCAGTGAAAAAACAACACCTTCTTGAAATTATGTGGCAAACTGCTTTTGGAGAAGAGATGAAGTATTCATTGTAAGATTACGAACAACGATGCATGAAAATGAAAAACGGCTTTACGAGTCAAAGGAAATCCTAGTACTTCTGTTTATGTATGCTACCATTTTATAAGCCAACAATTAAGTATATGCAGAAGGAATACTAAGTTTGGCAGTTACATTCTATAAACCATTTCCAGTGATGTCAGTAACATTGTTTCAGAAGTCACTGATGTACTTAAATTCACCCACAAGAGGCCTCTGAAATAAATCAAATACAAGGCAGCATATTTTCTGGATAGCAGAAGAGGATGTTCAAAAAGTATGTAATTAAAGAAGCTCAGATCAGAGATGAGGTTTTTTTACTTAATATGGGAGAGAAAAGAGCAACAACAGAGATAATGTGAGGCAATGGTGAAGTAGACATGCTAGTATAATTTAAATGCCATAAACTAATGAAGTAATTCCTCACTCATACAACTAAAATTTTTAAAGATTCCAGCTTTGCCGCATTTCCCTGGAATAGATATAGAATTTCTTCTAAGAAACCATTTTAATCCCCCTCTGCCTTTTAAAAAAAGCCAAAAATTATGAAAACTCTGCAGAATATTTGTATGTTACATATCTTGTTACACGATTCAGTTAAGGTTCTTCTTTTGCTCTAAGTTAAATCTGCCAAATTTGAAGCTCAATCTCCACAGAAAGACGGCACTCCCTCTAAAAAACAAAATTGATTTATATAATATTCCTCTGTTACTCCAGCACATAATGTACTCGCACTATTCCTCAGTATTACTCTCAGATCAATCAGCGCAAATTGTTCGTGCTATAAGGGTTTCCAGAAAAAATGACTTTGGAAAAGAGAGCAAACGCATTGAGGAGCATTTAGGAACATGAAGAACTGAAAATTCAGGAGCTCTCTGTCAGCAAGTATCTGCATGCAGACATATTCCTGTTGGAAGGCAACACGCTATGATGTGAGCTCATCTCCTTACCAATGTGAAGGAAGAGTTCAGTCTCCCACTCCCTGCTGCACACAGACTGATTGAAAACATCACCAAGAAATGTGTTAACTCTCAAATATCAATACAGGAGTTCAGGAGATGTTCAGAGTATGAGGTTCCCCTTGGTCCCTTTTTGTTACTGCTACACAGAACTTATTTTAAAATGTTATCTCCTTCCATGTTTGAGGTTGGACTGCCTTTCCAGAGGGATCTGCTTCCATCCATACTATCGTGGTTCAAGGTACATGTGCCATGTAGTAGATGCTACAGAAGTGTCAAAAGCCTATCACAGAGCATTATTTCAGAATATTCTTTTCTGAAAATGAGACAAGGTGTCATTTTGTAACAATGGTGCTCGTGAATATTTATGACAGATGATTATTTAGTGTTAAGCTATCAAACATCACTTTACCATTTCAAGTTTAAAAACAATGAAGCAGAGGCATTTCTGAAAACCCACAAAACTTAAAAACTCACCTTTAGAATTTTAATAATAAAGCATCTGAAAGTAATTGACTTAATTAGCTCCTTCAAAAACTAAATGAATTGATCAGCTACATTTTTGCCCTTCTTATACAAGAGCCAAAGTTTTATGTAAAATGTTATTTGCATTCTAGAGCAAATTTTACAGTGGTATCGAAACTTCAGCTATGCCGGAGCTCACTTTTCCTTTCCTAAAAGGACATGCCACTAAGCCGCACTTTGAAAGAGAGTATTGCACTAAACACTTCGAATACAGTCAAATTTTGAAAGTGTGAGTCCATTTCTGTAAATTTAAATAGAAGAACCCATATGCACAATGCACTGAGACAGACCAGTGATCAGACTTTAGCGTAAAAATGTGGCTGTGCACTCACAACACATAAGGAAATGATATACCACACACATACTTGGAGGAATGCATCACTGCTGCCAAAGTAAATCTGAACTAAAGCAAGAGCTCTGGGGCATACGGTATGGCGATTGTCACAAGTCAGTGTTGCAGCTAAAGAACTCAAACTCTTCAGACCTCTTCTGAGGCTTACTACAATCAGTAAGACCTTATTGTGCTTTCCTGTAACAACATCTACTCAGAAAGAAAACAAAAAAGCGAATCAAGACTTACAGCATTGGTTTTGGATTCTGCACTTATATCACTTCTGCAAACGTGTGCCCTCCGGGACTAATGCAATAAACCTAATGGGCAGGCCAGTTCCTAGGAAATAACTCAACTTTGGAATACCAAGTGCATACCACAGTTTACATGCTTTAAAGGAAATAATTAATTGGTCATCTACAACAAAGTCTTACTGTGAATTAAATATAATAATTCTTACTCACAGACTGCCAGTACTTACAATGCATACCTTGAGCTAGAAGTTGTCTGCTCTTGCAAAGCAACATTTCACAGAAACAGCATTCATTACATAGGAATGCCTGGCCTTTTAAAAGCATATGTTCTGTCAGAATTTACTTTTAATCTATAGTTCTATATATTTCTAAAAATGGATCTAGAGGATAGTTATAAAAGTAAAATTGTGAATACAGATTTAATAGAAAGACCTTCTCAGCACCTGTATCTGTGTCTTGCGGCATGCTAACATCCAGTTTGTTAATGGAGTTTGATTGTTAAAGGATTATTGCAACAGCCTTGCAGGTAACTTACTTTAGCATAAAATTGATTCTGCTGCTTGCTCCCCATTTTACATTTCAGTGGAGACCATATACAAATCCTGTGTTTTATATTATGGAGTTTTCATACGGAAAGAAACGCACCACAGTTCTTCACTTCTATTTGTTAGCAGTATTTTATGATAAATTTTGAAAGCTATCTGTAAATTTCTGTTGCACAGTCTCCACATTGCTAGGAATTACACATAAAACTTAAATATTTTTAGAAGACACTCTGGACTCCTGTGGTATTTGTAAAACGCATGGGATAACTTAAGGTTCACCATAAGCAGCGCAGCGCATCTGTTCCTACTACTCAGTATTGAAAGAAGTACGTTATTTGGAACACAAAACAAAGTATCAGAGCATTCTTCAACAATGCAGTTTTCCAGTACTATGATTTCATACATAATCAGGGGAAAAAAAAAAATCATTCTAAACTTAAGAAATAATCTTAAGATATTAAAACAATCAACTCTTATAAACAAAAATGCAAAGCAATATTGAATTAATTTTGTCTAACTGCCTGGCTCTTTGATACGCTGGAATCATTGAATACAAGGCTCCTCCAGTCATACTGCAGGTGCCACATCAATATATTCCACAAATATTTAAATGACTTAAAAGAGAGCACAGCAGCAGAAGAGATGGTGCAGCTAAACAGTTAACAGCAAAAAATGAAAGGCTGCTTTATGTAAGCCAGAACTTCTAACACTATTTCTATGGTGCAATTATGATTTTTGTTATTGAAAAGTAATGATACACAGGGCTGTACCACACATGCAGAAGCAAACCTCAAAATGTTAAAGACATGCTGCGTCCCATTCAGGTATTTGTTACTTCTCATAGACATGATAGAAGCAGTTTTATGCAGATTGTATTGATAAAATCTTCACTTATAACCATTAGTGTTCAGTAAAAGAACTCCACAACCGATCGTAATGACTAGAAACGCCTTTCAATGTGTACACTTTCCACCATAGCCATGGTGCATGCATTTCAGCCTGGAAGCTGCTTTTGACTTTGACAGAATCCTAATATTAGCACTTACGTCTAACACAACCAGCAGCACTAAGCCGAACAAAAAGTGCACCCTTGTGCTCCTGGAAAGTCCATCTTGCACCCTACTATGAATAATTCTAGTACTCTCCTGGAACTGAAAAGCGCAACAAACTTTGACTTTTCAATACCCAAGTTGTTGAAAAGATACATCAAGGCCTAATCATTCAGAATCAACTTCAAAGCATGGCACTACTTTTCCTCACACATGTCAATTTTGGAAAGCGAGAAACATCTTCAATACAGTTAGCTACTAGGCATGTCTCCAAGAAAGTAAGAAGTTACTGATGACATTTAGGCTTGAAAAAAGGTATGCAGTACGAACAAGAATGCAGTGCAATGTAAGTTGACTCTTTGCTTTTTGTAATACAGAAGAGATGAATAAAGAATAGAACTACTGCTTTTTTCAAATTCTAAGACAAAGTATTTTCCTTGAATGGATGGAAGAACAGTTAATGAGTATATAAAACAGTGATGGTTAGAAAGTCGTAACTCCCTTGCCTCTAGCAGAAGACAAATTTCTTTTTTGTAAAGATGCTTTTGCAGTTTCAGACATGTGTATGAGATCAATACATTTATTTATCTTTGGTAAGGAGGCACAGTAAAAATGGAAATTCATGTTTTGCAAACATCATCAGATACCAACTATAAGAAACAGGAAAAAATAAATACCCACCTAGCTTTGCCTCAGAAGTGTCCATCTCCCATTTGCTTTTCGGAATGTAACCCTAAATCATACACAGAGAGAAGCTCGGAGGATTAGAGAGAGACACACATGCATATCACTTTTGAACTGGAAACAGCATTATAATGGGAGCTTAAGGTATTTCTTTTTGTAAGGCACAATTCTTGTTATCAGATGAAGGAAACAAATTACTCAGTATTTCAGAACTTCTGCATCCACTTTCCATTCAGTGATTTTAGCAGCCCTTGCAAATCATTACAAGAGTGCTGCCCTCTGCAAACACAGAACTCCGGAATGAGTTTAACAGACAGCAATGGTGCTGCGTGCACAGTTACTACATTATATTATCCCCGGTGGCAAAGTCAGTGCAACACAACTTATCAGGCATAAAGAATATTCAAAGCTTTACAAACACAAATGAAAAGGTTACCGTAGCCATAAGCTTTTAAGAATATATTCCCAGATTTACTACACACAAGCTTCACTTAATAACCCTTTTGAAGGGGCATACTAAATTATTGTAAGTGGTTAGCCCACAACTAAACAAAATTCTTTTTTTTTTTTTACTTTAAATGAGAGGATTTGCTGAACCCCCAAGATTTAAGTA